ATTGGTTGGATGTTATCATCTTAAAGGTCTTTTCCAATCGAAATGATTCTGTGATTCTAAAGTTTCCATATTTGATTTCCATTATTGTGTAGCTCAGTAGCATATTAATGGGGAGTTGTATCTAATTGAAAACTGTCTCTGGACAAGCAATGCTTGTTTCATTAATACACTGAACTTCTTGCTAAACTAAGGTTAGAAACTGACATTAATATATGTTTTGGTGGCTTCTTAAGGTGTGAAATTGAATAATTTGAATACTTGATGTCGATTTCCCCATGTCAGGTTAAAAGCATGTATCGTAGGGGGCTGGTGCTCAAATCATAACCAGAAATTATTCTTTGAACTCTTTCAATCTGCAGTCATTAATTGAAGTGTCCGAAATCAACCTGCAATAAAAAGACTGCATCTTTTTCAGGGGTGTCTTGGTGAGACTGGAAGGATGCAGCCATCCTGTTGTTATGAAAGGCTTGTGTGCAGAATGTGGCCAGGACTTGACTCAGTAAGTATTCTCAGCTCCTTTTTCCAACTTCTCCTTGCTTGTGATTAGGGATCTAAGCTCTTCCTTCTCTCATTTACTACTTCACTTCACTGTTCTGAGTCTAGGTACAATTATACCTGTAAGTTTAACTATGAAGTTATAGATACCAGTAGGGAGGGAGAATGGTATTCGTTCTACTTAACACAAGTAGGTCTGCGCAGAGAGCTCCTATAAGGAAAGTTGAGAGGGAGTTTACTCTAAAAGTTAGATTTCAGCGTAAAGCACTTTCACATTTGCTTTTTAAAAAAAATATATCTATTGAGATTGGCTCATGAAATTGTTACATAATTTTGAGTGGTCTGAACATATTAATTCTTGATCACATTATTAATAGTGTAATCATTTAATAAAGTATATTTCTCTCATGAAAAATTGCTGCTTGTAATCAGGAATCGGCGTTTCTTGTGGATAAAACCAACACATGAAGACGAAATAGGCAAGATCTGTACCACTGTTGCAAAGTGTCCTAATTTACTTTTGCTATTTGCACAGGGTACTTGTTTTATCACCCTGAAATTTTCAACTGTGTGCCTTTTTTCTCCTTGTACTTCACTGTAAGCACAGATACATTGTTTAGAACTATATTTTCTTTTAGCTATTACAGGGTTTCATAACTAGGAATATGGGTGAATAAGATGCTATGTGGGTACTTGAGTTACAGTTCACATTACAAATTTATGACAATAACTGCGCATGCTCTCTTTCTGTGGAGATAAATATAGGGTAACTTACTACCTTAAGTAAAAAATGTAAAGGGCGTGCATACAGACATAAATTGTCATCACAATTTATCCTACTTTGCTTTTTATATACTCTCAACTGAGGTTGAGAGTTGTAAGGTGTGTCAACAGTGACTTCATAAATCTGAGAGTTTTATCTGTGCAGGTGTAAATAGCTGTGAGGTAATACCAGTCTCATTATGTGACCTTGCTTCATTTGTACTGTGCTGAATGGGAGCTAGCTTGTATCCAGTGCTTTCAATTTAAGGCTTCAGAACTGTTTTCAATTTTCTAGTGAGATATTCTGCCATGGAACTAAAGGAATTTAGGCCTTAGGCCAAAAAGAAAGCAAATTCAAAATATTACTGTATTTCTCTTGCTCTGTCTCATTGCTAATACAGTTGGTAAAGAGAATGTTTTTTATGCATATCAAATTACTAATTCAACAGCTGTTTTCTAAAATGGACTGTATACTAGCCTGGATTTTAGTAATGGATGTTGCATGCTCATTTCATTTGGAAGGAAATATTTTGGTTTACTTTTAATTCATACTCGTTATTAAGAATTATTTTGTGACCATTATCCCATAAACTCGCACAAATGGACTGAATATTGAAAAAGTTATGCAATGTGTAGCCTAGTCAATGGTTGGATATAACTTTTCATTAAAAGTTGACTGTTGACATTCTGTAAACAAGTATTATTTGGCAAAACAAGAAACCTAACAAGAAGTTAGGATAATAGTGAATATGTCTTTGCCTGCCCTGGATGAATACTTGACTTGAGGTTTGAATACGGTCACATCTAAATATTGTTATACTGCTGCTATTTCATTAAAAAATCTAGATAAATGTAATGAATTCAGTTTTCTCAATTAATACTCCTCTACTTCAGATAATGTCTTCATTTTGTACAAAATGGCTTATACATCTGGAATAATGTGTTAGGTCTGCTGAGCTTACATCAGAAGGCAATTCAAAAGCATCAATGCTTTTCTTGCTTGAAGAAAAAAAATGAGTTCAGCCAGTTCACTACCCCCTTGTTGGGTGTTAGGCAGTGATGCATCCTTTCTGTTACATAATTCTTATGCTCATTTAACAAATGATATTAGAACAGTTCAGCTTTTTTAAAGGGTTATTTAAAATACCATTCAATGTAATACAAAAGAGGTGTTCTGAACTCTGAAGCAAAGGATGTAAGATGCAAAAATGTGCAAACTTTGGACTAAATGAAATATCTGTCTTTCCTTTCTTGGGAATCAGTGCTTCCAAACACTGAGGTACAGTAAAAGCATATCTATCTGTGATTGCATCTGCCTCAAAACAGCTCAGGAACTATTTTTTTCCCTCGGGAGCTTGCTTGTCATGAAGTGAAAAGTGGGTGAAGTTTAACTCTGGCTGTAGATGCAATACCAGATTTTGTCCTTGGTAGGACAGGTACTTGGCAGAATAAAAGATGTTCATGTGTCACATAGGACAAAATTTGAATGGTAGTATTTTTGATGTTGGTGAACCATACATAATATCTTTAAAATTAGAAATCAGAGTTTCCAACAAATTGATCTGTGTAAGCTGGAAGCTAGGGATACTGATGCTGTGTGGGGTTACTTGGTCAATTTTCAAGGAATTTCATACTCGTGTGTACACACACATATACACACACACACTCAAATATATATATAGGAGGATGATAGGTTTTCTGTATATATTAATATTCCTGTATATACATGTATCTATATATCATATGGATATGTATGTGTGAGACTGTATATGTGTATAACATACATGTAAATAAAATACATACAGACACACACAAGAAGTACCTCATTCTGTTTGTACTGAAGGGAAAAGCATGTATGGGGATTTTTTTGGATACTTTTCTTGAAGCAGCAGTCACATGTAAGTCACTCTGCTATGCAGAGAGAGTAATTTTGCCTATCCTCTGCTTAAATTGCTTAAATTTATTTCATAGTTTGGCTTTGAGAAAAGTAGATCATTGCATGCTGAGTGATTGCAAAAAAAAAAAAAAAATTAAATTTGAATGGTTTGGTAGTTACACTTTATAAGTGTTTTCTAATGTCAATCAATACATAGATGTCTGTCTCATCTTAGTGCCATTTTTCATTGTATAATTATATGGCAACATAAGTAATTACAGTGGCTTTTTGCAAGGTTTTTCTGGTGAGCTGCATTGATCTCTATTTTGTTCAGTAACTTGCATTAACAAGAACTTGAAAGAGTATATTAGTCAAAGTAGCTCTTTTTAATCATATTTTTTTGGGCGATGACTAGTTTGATACTACAGATCTTAGTGTGTTCAACTTTTCACTAAACTATTACTCTCTCTTTTGATGCTTCTTTTTCCCTGTGTGATTAGGATACGAAGCAAGAATGGAAAACACAGTGTGCCATTATCCACAGCAACTGTGTCTATGGTTCACAGTGTCCCAGAACTGAAAGTTAGCTCTGAGGTAAGTGCCATCATGCTTGCTTTTATCATACCTTTCACTGCAGCTCCACAGTTGAGAAGCATAATTATAGGAGTTTCTTCAATGTTGTATACACTTCATACAGAAAATTTGGCTTCCCTTTGAAGAGGAATTTGGTGTTAAACATCAGTAGCCTGGGGTTTTGTATTTACCCTAGTGCAGGTTGATTGTCATCAGGTTTTATAATATGTTGGGTTTTTTGAGCTGTGCAGTGAAAAGATGGCACTTCTGTGACAGCAGCCTGAAACCTTACTCCTCTAATTGTTTTTGTCTCTAAGAATAAGCAGTTTGTGGAAAGTTCAGTTTCCACTGGCTGAAATGTGTTCAGAGTTTGCAACATCTCTGACACATAGCTTCACCCTTCACTTTGAAGTTGGTCCCACTAGTAAAGCTAGTTTGTTTGCAACTTACCCGTATGTTAGAATTATTTCATTATTTTTCAAATATTTTGATAACTCAGCTGAATGGAATATGCTTGTTCATCCTCAGTTTCTTTAGAGAAAAAAGCATGTTTATTTTGAAGATAAACATTCTATTTATCTTCCTTACAAACTTGTTCTTTCTCTGTGTTGCTGCTTCCTTTTTTCTTTTTAACTCTTCAAAGAATGTCAGTAATAAGTGGCTAGAAGTGTCCTCATCATCTCATCGTAGAAGAGTGTTTCAAAGTGCAATTCGCATTTGACTCCTGCTTCATCATGCTCCCCTTAACTTTGCTTTAAAGCTTAGCTGTCTGGTGGCTAACACAGCAGCTTGCTATCAGAAGTGATTAAAATGAACACAGAGCTTAATGTGGTACTTTGGAAGTTTGTAAATATGCATAAGAGGAGTAAACTTCAACTCAGATTTACAGGAGTATAAGGTCATTGGTATCAGTGCTCACATAGAACCACATAATCTAACTATTCACATCGAAAGCACGTATTCCTTAAGCTCAGGTTGACAGTTATTGTAACTTCTGTCATTAGCAGCTTCAGTTTTATACTCAGGCTAGTCTTTCAGCTGTATTGTACGTAATAGCTACAAAATTGCTGAGCATAGCAGCCAGAGTTTTCACACCTACTGATGAGCTTGTCCTTTGCATACCCCAAAGCTATTGCTATTTCCTCTCAAGACTCTTGGCCTTAAATTAATTCAGTGGTTACTTATTTATCAAATTTGGAAGTTGTGTTGAGTTTATCAATTTTAAGAGTTGCTAGTGTCACAAAGATATGAGAGTAGACTTTGGGAACATTTTTTTTTTCTGTAGAAAAATTGCTGACAAAGCTGCCATCACTACAGTTATATTGAAGCATCATTTCTTATGCGGTTGGTTTGTAGCAGAACTTTTTCTCAACTTTACAATATACAAAAGGCAATAAACCTAACATTTCTTCTAAGCTAAGTTTAGTTGTGAGTATTTTGTTACAGCAAGCTGAGCAACTAGGAAGAGAAGATCAACAGCGACTACATCGAAATCGAAAACTGGTGCTTATGGTAGATTTGGACCAGACACTGATCCATACTACGGAACAGCACTGCCAACAAATGTCTAATAAGGTAAGTATTTGGTGTTAACTTTCAAGCCAATGTAACAACAGGAATATTTCTAACTATATTTAAGTAATGGTTCTTTAAGAAAATATTCGGTGATTAGGTAAAATTGTAGTTGAAGAATAACAGAAAATGAGAAACAAGTCTTCTAAAATATATTCTTTTTTTCTCTACATTTAAATTGTCAGTTTTCTTTCTTCCATTTATGCTTTCCTGCACTTTTCCATTCCAGTCACTTTAAGCGAGAAGTTTCAGGTAGCTATTTTTAATCTCTGCTTTCCTTCCTCTAAATTCACAAGCTGAGTATTCAGTAATGAGACTTTTTTCCCCTCCAAGTCTGAGGTAGATATAGTGAATTACTGTTCCAAGTCTGTCATTTCATGAATATGTCTAGTGATTTTTTTTTTTCTTCAGTTTTGTTTTTTTGGAAGGTGTTTGGGTATTGCTGTTTAATTTCTTCATGAAACACTTGTCATTGAACTGATAGGGACTATTGGCTTGCAGTATATCCAATTTGAAAACTTTAAAACAAGAAGCGTGTATCTACAGTGACTTGTACAGGAGGATGCAAATTCAAATGGCAGTGTCATGGAAACTGTGGTTGCTTAGTTCTTCTTTCTTTCCTCTTGCCATTCTCTTTATGTCCAGTAGGTTCAGCATGTGTTCACGCCTGTTAGCAAAAAACAAGCTGTAAATGTACTTTGCAATTGGGAGGAAATGGAACAGTGAATATTTGGCTTAAAGATTAAAAAAAGTGTGTATTTGAAAGGCTATGTCTTCATCTGTATACATGCGTGGTTTGAATAAAAACATTTTTTAAAAGATTTTGAGGTTTTTTAACTGGGATCTTTCTCTGCAGACTTCCTTCCTGGTTTGCTATCTGATGGTATATTTCCATAGGCATAGTATTTTTTCATCCAACAAAGTTCTCTGAGCTCAATATGTACTGAAACTAATCTGTGTGAAGTTCAGAGTAGTAATGGTTGGAGTGAGATCCAGAACTTTCTGAGGAATTTCTCAAGTTGCTTTTTTTCAGATTGGCTTGCCGTAAGTAAAGATTTGAATGAAAGTTACTTTGATCATAAACTTTTCAACAGCATAGCTTCCTGCATTTGAAAAACTTAGTGTTGGACTGCCTGGCACAGAGCAAAAATGTGCTTTGTATTTTATTCATCCATATAATCTTTGTGACTGAAACTTGCTTTGGCCTAGTCAGGCCAAATACAAGTAGCGGAAGTAATGGAAGAGGGCACTTTGGAATGCTGATATTTTTGTTTGGTATTTTGATAATATGAAACATGCTTTTTCTTCTAGGGAATATTTCATTTCCAATTAGGTCGAGGTGAGCCTATGTTGCATACTCGCTTGCGTCCTCACTGTAAGGAATTCCTGGAAAAAATTGCCAAGCTGTATGAATTACATGTTTTTACTTTTGGCAGCAGACTGTATGCACATACAATTGCAGGTGAGTAGAATGTTACATTTAACAATATTTACCTAATCAGCCTTCATACTCACATAACTAGCTATCTTTCTGTGGTTGTTTTCAAGTATTTGTTCTTGGTTTTGTGCAAAACCACTTCCTAAATAGTCCTGTAAGCAGAATTCTTGGCTTGTTTACAAGGCAGTGCCTGTATGGCCTGTATGACCTGCAATTCTAGAAGTAATCCTTTTTTTTTCTTTCCCCATCAGACGTGCTTTTTTGCTTCTCTGATGGTTAGAGAATCAGCTTGTAGCATGACAACTAGTGTCTTCCTATTGAATTAAGTAAGAAATTATGCTGATGGGCTCTAAAAGTGATCTGCAGCATCACTTGTCTTAGAAATCTAAAGCAACAGTTCCATAAAAATCAACAACATGAAATTATCTTCTCTTGTGGAGACCTCCCCTGCTGTTTCCTTTCACCAAGGAAGCTTGGCTGCTCTAAAACAATTTACAGTAGTTCTGTTTGTGTCCTAGAGCTGGCATGCACTTATTTGAGGAAGAGCACAGATCTAGCAGTATTTTCACATACTCCTCTCAAGAACTTAGAAATATTTTCTCCTAGTAACTGAAAACTTGCATTTAAATTATAGCAATAGTAGTCTATGGTGTGTGTCACTGGCTGAAATGTTTTCCTTTTTCTAACAAGCATAAAAGAAATCTACCCTGTTATGCAAGCATGTGAGTCAAATTCGTGTTAGGAGTGTGACCATGTCTTTAAACTGTAAAATTTGCTCTCATCCCATCTTGAGTCTTTGACAGAATAGCACTTTCACCTCAGACTTTTCTTTATTTAGTCTGTTGGACTAAGACAGCATAATTGTTTTAGATTATGACGCTACATGTCAAACTGTCCTTGCTGCTGTTCCATGTCTCCTAGCTTTTTTTGTCTTTCACATCTGCTTTTTTTTGTGTTGTACTTTGTCAGTCTTGTGGTTGGATTATGCATTGTGTACTGCTAATGCATTACCACGTTTGTACCCTGCTGTCCTTACAATGTGGTTATTTCTTGTGTAGCAAAAGGGGAATGGTTTTCTTATACACTGGGCCTAAATACCTGGTAGTAAGAAAGTGGATGGGCAATCTTCCTGACTTTGGATCTATGTGCCTTGGATGCATGTAGCCTAAGGTCAGAAGATGTATACCAGATAAGGTCAGAAGACATATAGCAAATATGCTTCAGAGCCAGGGAGAAGGTTGAGTTGCAGAGGTAGTTAACTCATGATGTGTAAGTGCTTCCCCAATGATTGATTTTTCTCTTAATGTGTGAGTTGGTCCTGTGTTTGTTTGTTTTATCTCTGAGATAAAATTTGGATTACCCTGCAGTCCCCATGCTGGCGGAGGCTGCTACTTATAAAGTAACAAGCCTTTTTGTGGGCATCATAGTTGAGCTGCTCCATCTGTTCCATAGAAGAAATAGCCACCAAATGAGCAAATTGCTCATTGCTGCTTCCTAACATCCCCAGACTTCTGGATTTTTGCCTGAAGCTGTCTAATCTCATTAAAAGCATTCAAACTACAAGTGGATTACTTGTACAGTGATGATGATAATTTCAGCTGAAATATGTTGATATGGAGAAACAGTTGAAATAGCCTTTGGTCCACATACTCATCTGTGTAACCAAGATGCAGTAACAGAGAAATATTTAGCTAATACATATGGAGAACACTTGATGGCAGTATTGGTTAAATGATTTCTCAGAGAGAGCTCTCAGTTTGGTATTTTACCATTGTCCTAGGACAAGGAAGGACTTATAATAAAATGCTGGGAATCTTTTTCATAAGAAAAAGGTCGTTTTCTTAGGTTCTCCATATACATTCTATATTTCTTTGTGAAATCTGAACTCTGAGCTACTCCTTCCATGTCCTGGAAGGCTTTTTCCTCATTTTGAAAACAGATGACATCTTGTCAGTCCTTTTTCTCTCATCCCAGCTGACTCCTATCAGCTGTTAAGTGGGATTAGTTGATATTTGTAAACACCATTTATGTCTGCTGAAGTCATTTCACCCTTTCTTAGTTTGACACATTTGCAAAGTGGTATCTTGTAGTACATTTATGAAGATGAGTTTTGGATTTTATAATCTAGAGATTTCTATAGTAATTCTTTCTACATAATTATTTTGACCAGTTGTTACTTAATATATTTTCTCCTATTCTGCATAAGAGAAATTCAGTGTATTTAATACTGAAGTCAACTTAAATGCTGGTTGTAAAAGATAATGCCACTGAATTTTGAGTTCAGAGGCCACCAGGCAACAATAATGCAATGTGAAATCACTATTAAGATTTATAGTGGAATTTAGAAAGTAGGACTAAGTTGAGGGCATTCATATGTATGGGTTTTTTTAGCAAGTATATTACATTATATTTTCAGGATATGTTGGTGGGAAATGCATAGGAATAAAATAAATGAAACAAAGTTAAGAGTACATCTCAGGAACACTTTCACTGTTTCTGTATACTTGATGAGTTTATACATAGACCTTTTCATCACTCCAAAGTCATAGAAACTTGTGGCAAAATGCCCTCACAGAAAAGTGACATTGTCTAAACAGATGGGGTTTTGGTAGTCTGTACTGACTTTTCTTAAAGAAAAAGCTACCAATACTTTGGAAGGTATCATCCATTTGAAACCTGCAGCTTCATTATTAAAGGTTAATATCCCAACAGTGTACCAGCATAAAATTTTAAATCTGTCATTATGTAGGTTGTGAAAAGATTTTTATTTTGAAGGTGGGAGAGTTTTTCATGAGAGTTTCCCAGTTCTTTTTGTTACTAAAAGCAGTATAATAATGATTTTATTTTTTTAATAAAGAAGTTAAATCTTAGCCTTTACTTAGTTTTATCTTGCAGAACATATCTGCATCTACTTATTTTTAATGTAAAGTTTTTATTTCTTCAGATTTATGCTCTATTTGCAATCATAAATCAATTAAAAATTTTAACTAACGGTATGTGACCTAGCCACTAGGTATCTTATTTGCTCTTGCATGGAGCTGAATTGCTAAATAGGTTAGTGTAAATCTTTGAAAAGGCTATATTGGGTTTTAAAACAATATTAACGTACTATTGAAGAAAACAAGTGATATATGATGAATGAAATGTTGTCTGCCATTTCTCTGAAATGTGAAAACATTAGGATTATGTCTGTTATATTGATTCGGTTGGCTAAGCAGCATCCAAGGGAAATCAAACAGTTTAAGACATGTAAAGAACTTCTTTGAAAGACCAGTGCCATTTTCCATATTGCTGTTCCAGTAGATTAGCTTTGAAAGACCCAACTCTCTTAAGATAGGCCTCTATCTTTCTGAGTGCATCTCTGGTGAACTGTATCCTCAGTGTATTTTTAGTGAATTATCAAGGGGGAAAAAGTATTAAAATTAGTAAGTCTTTACCGACGCATTAATGAAAAGCTCCAGAACACTACCTCATCTCTAACCACTGGCAGCCAGGGTCTCTGTGTTTGGGCTTTGTTAGTTCAACTTCCCTTTTCTTACAGTTTTAGGTAGGCAACACTGCAACTGAATGCCTCATGGTTTTGCCCTTTAGTCAGTGCTCTCCTGTCCTGTAGACAATCTAGTGTAGAGAGTGTCTAATTTAGTGTAGAGAGTGTCTGTGTATACAGATAATTAGTAGAAGAGAATTTGGTTGGGGAGAACAGCAACTTGTATGACAGCTTACGTAGTTTGTCAAAATATCTGTGTGTATGGCAATAAATCTTTGTAGCTAATTCTCTCAATTCATTATGCCTAGGTACTGCAAGGGTCTCACTACAGGGGATGATTCTACGAGTTTGCAGCAATTCTTAAGCATAGTCGGGTGAGTTAAGGTTGAACCTCTGTCCTTAACTCGGAATTTTCTTGCTTTTATGGGTTTTAAGTTATTCCAATTACACATTAATATTGAATACACACAGGATCAACTTTTCAGAAGTGATGACTGATTTTTTTTTTTTTTTTATTTATACCCTTTGTTTTTGAAGACCCAACTTAACTCACTGCTGGGAGCTGGGCTTCTAAAAGGAGTTGAACATGTATTCTGTGCAAATCTCAAAGCTCCTTGAAAGAAAATTAAAGTTGGTCCTTAGAGTCTGTAGTCAATTTGAACCCTGGTTCTGGCTATAAGATGGCCTCCATTTAAAATAAAATAAAGTAAAACTTTAAAAAATTGTTCCCAGATAAGTATTGACTGCCTTGTATTATTCATAAGAATAATGAGAAGTTGATGCTAACTTCAACACAAATTCAGTTAAATGAAAAATTCGGATTAGCATGTAAAATGCCAGTTTCCTTCTAAGCTATTATGTGGCTGTGATCTGCGCATGAAGATGAATTTCATTATTGGAGCCTAGGTTCAGAAGCATGTGCATGTGTGTTTGTACATCCCAGTTGCTATTTTATTAAATAATGGCATTTTATCTTGCTTTAAGATCAGCTAGCACAGCTTCACCTGTTTTGGTTTTTTGGGTTTTTTGTTGTGTTTTGGTTTTGGTTTTTTTTTTAAGAGCGCAGTCAGAAAAGTTACTGCAACTGGGCCTACATATTTCTAGGAATCCCAGGATATATTCATTATATGTAAATGTATTAAAGTATTTGTTAGAGGTACAACTTAAAACCTACAAATGCAAGAGCTCCGGCTGAAGCTGTCCCTTAACTCGCCCATTGTGCTTAAGTATTGCAGCACATTGCGGACTCTTGTGAGACTTCTCTGCAGTCCCTAGGCATAATGAGCTAAGGAGAGCATTTAGCTTTAAAGAACCACCTGTAGAGAGATAAATGTAAGTTGCAAAAATCATGTGTTATCTATCGCCTGCTGTATCTGTTTCAGCCTAATTCATTTGGCTATCACAAATGTAGTTACTTTAAATTTCGTTGCTATGTCGAGAGAAAATGAAATGGGATTTTAACAATTAATCCCACTGCGTTATTTACAAATACTCGATCCCACTGTGCTTACCCTTTCCCCCATATAATCTCTTTTACCTTAAAATTGTCTGTTAGTTAAACTGCTGTTGCACAGATAGCTTAACTACGTAGAACATAAGCAAGGAACAAACATCTTGAACATTAACTTTTTTAATTTCTTCTTTCAAAAGGATTTTTGGATCCTGAAAAGAAGCTTTTTTCCCATCGGATATTGTCAAGGGATGAATGTATCGATCCATTTTCTAAAACTGGGAATCTTAGGTATGTATATAGGTCTTATGTGTTAAACAAAAAGGACCAAAAAATACAGAATATGCTGAATATAACAAAAACTACTTTGTACTTAATGTGTTTATAGTCCTTCCTTATCTACTCCCTAAGTATCAACACTGCATCAGTAAAGCTGAGATGCTAGGCGTCACAGCATTTCATCTACTTAATGTGTTCTGTGGTACTAGAACGGTAAGAATGTGAAGCAATAGCATCGTGTTTTCACTTACACTTTTTATTCTAATAACCTAACCATATTTCCACTTTATGGCTTGTGATCTTGAACAATGATTTGTATGTTGTAGTTTTTTAAATTAAACCCAAATTCTCGGTTTGAGGTGAATTCATATTTGAGTATCTAGTATTCTGGCTTTCAAATGTGCTATGCATCTACCAGCTTCTGTTCTGCAGTGTTTCTTGAAATTAGGTCAACTAGAGACTTGAATTCATATTCCAGTCTTCTTCACAGTATGAGGCCAAGATTTTTTGTAACAGACAGATATTTTTAGTATTTCATAAAGCTAGATTAAAAATTATTGCCCCTTCCCCATCTGACCATAACAAATAAGAAGCTTTTTTCCTTCTCTTACTCTGTTTTATATGCATGTATATATCTTAATTACTGTTTCTCCTCCTCCTAAATAATATAAGTATTAGTACTTTTTGCTTCCTTTGTCTTGGATTGAATGAGTCTACTCTTTTAAACACTGTACTTGTGTATTTTTCCTAGTTATATATAGAAAGTGTATTGTCCACATCATAGTTGGCTTTGGACTGTTCCTTGACATAAACTGAGGAAACTAGACCAAAATGTTGTAATGGTTCGTCCTTGCAAAGGCTTGTTGGTTCCTGCTTCGAGCCTTTGGGGTAGAGATTTAAAAATAGCGCTCTTTTTGCTCTCTCTTTTTGCTCTCTTTCCTTTAAAATTACAGAATTCAAAATACAATATTCAAAATAATGTTGCTTATTTTTTTGTAAGTTCATATATAAGCATGTCCTGCAGACATGCTCATAATAAACCAGAACATCCACAGAAACTACTTTGATAGTATTAATTTCTAAAGCTGGATTCATTGTATCAACTGGTATGTCTCTTAGAGATCTTTTCCCATGTGGTGATTCCATGGTCTGCATCATTGATGACAGAGAGGATGTTTGGAAGTTTGCACCCAATTTGATAACTGTGAAGAAATACGTATACTTTCAGGGGATAGGAGATATTAATGCACCCCCTGGATCAAGAGAAATTCAAATGAAGAAGAAAGGTAACTATATAGTTTATAAACCATTTTTTACAACTCTTCCACTTTTCAAATGTGATTTGATGTAAGTCATTGTGGTGGTCTTACTACTGTTGCTGTTGCACTCAGATGACCAGTCCTAGGCTATTGTACTTGAGAATGCTCCTGCAGCACAGATGCAGGTAGCTTAGTAAAACTGGACTGTTCTTGTTGATCGCTTTCCTTTTGGTGGGTGACCAGAGCCAGAGTAGAGTACCGGTAATAGCATTTCAGCTGTTATGGCTGGAGAACTGATGTGGCAATCCACCAAATTGTTCAAGAACATGTAGAGGAGGACAGCTTTCTCTCTTCTCCCCCTCCATGTAAAACAAGGCAGTTTTTTCTTTTCTGTAGGTGGTTAGGGAACCAACTTCCTCTTCTTTCTCCTTTTTGGTCCCCTTCCATGCTCCACTTTGGAGCAATAGTTAATAAACTCTGGTCTCAACATACTGCTGAAAATGAACATTTTGATCTCTGCTTACCTCCCTGCCTAAATCATGCTAATAAAATCAGCGTGGGATTTTTAGTGTCTACTGAATGTGGCGTTCTGGCATTTGACACGAGAATCTTATGTTCAGCACACTCAGCAATGTAATACAAATAGTGGATTTAGAAGGTATACATTGCAATGTTAATATTCATTTGGGGGCAGAATGTATTTGAAAGACAATGGCTAAGAAAGAATTGCAGGTTTTCTCCAGTTTAGCCAAGGGTTTTTTTTAATTTAATATATGTGACACCATTCTTTTTCCCTTGTTGAACTAGACATGACCAATACGGAAACAATAATAATATACTCAAACTGAATCAGGCCACTATGACACAGACCTTTATGCTTGACTGGTATTGTTATTTGCAGGGCAGGGACATGCACACAAGAGAGGCAAAGTAGGGTGACTTCATCCAGTGTTCCTGATGAATGTCTGCATGCAAATTTCTGGTTGCCTACAGTTTCTTTAAGTGTCTCTCCCTTTTTCTGCAGATGTCTGAAGACACATCCTAAAACTATTTCTGCCTTTGAGCCTATTACTCTTTACTTGCATTCCAGCACAGTCACAAGTGAATGTCAAACAGCATCTTTGTAGTACTAAAACATACGTATCTTTCAACTATTAAAATACGGTTGTTTTGGTTATGAAAAATAGGAAATATATGAAAGCCATGGAAGTTTATAAAGGAAGTTCTTGTAGTTCTGGATTGGGACCTTCTGATGTGAATTCTACCCTTTTTTTTTTTTGTTCTTTGCAGTAGTTTCAATGCCCTGAGATGTAATTATAAAACTCATGCTACAAGGTGAATCCTTTAATGTTTGCATAGTTAACAAGTAATTACTTCTGACCTGTGTGATTTTTTTTTTTATTTTTTATTTTTTTTTAAATAAAAAAGCTCCTTACACAGCTTCTTTCCAAAAGTAAAGTTTGTTAGGCTGGCCAGTTCTTTCTAGTAGTCGTTGATACCTAAAGTATCCTAACAACTTTGAAAAGCCTAGTTGTCACTTCTAAACATGGTGAAGTCTAACTGCATATGTAAACTGTGTTTAAGGAAAAAGAAAATTAAATTTTGATTAAGCTTTAAAAAAAAAAAACCCTGAGAAAATATGTATGTTTTATTTCTTGTGTCTTAGTAAACCACTCTACAAAACCAGAGGCACTGGATTCGGCAGTGACATCAGCAAAAGATGTTGAAGAAATAAAGAATGTTACATGTGTAGAAGAACAAAGCAATGGTCTCAAGAAAGCTACAAAGGACACTTGCACTGCAAATGGAAGTACTTCTGCAGGCAGTGGAACATCTGACTGGGACATGAACTCTTGCAATAAAGTTAATGCCCAGGACTCCTTAAATGATAGCCCTGATCACAAAATGGACAGTGAGGTCACTAATGACTTGACAAATACAAAAGAATCCCAGATTTTTTCAGAACAAGTCGATAAAACAGTGATAGAGAAGCAGCAAACTCAAGATAAGGCAACAAATGACTTAGACTTTGAACTGTCTAGTGACAGTGAAAGTGATGGTGGATTGGATACCAGAAAGTCATCCACTTCTCTATCAGATAGTGAGAATGAAGAAAAAAGAAGCTGGAAGAAATCCAAACAACCTCTGCAAGACGAAAACTTGGAGAAGGGGAGTTGCACTGATGTGAGTGAGAAAAAGGATGGTCTGGTAAACCATTCTGGGGACGCACAGTCTCTACCTAGTGAAAATATTCATGACAAAACTGATCTTGAAGCACAGGAAGAGAGTGAACAGGAAAGCCTTTGTGATTTAGGAAATGGTTGTGCAGACAAGAAAGAAGCTGAAACAGAGTCTCAGAACAGTGAACAGTCTGGAATTACAATGGGTGAGTCCTTAGACCAGAGTATGGAGGAGGAAGAGGAGGAGGATGATACAGATGATGATGACCATTTGATATACCTCGAAGAGATCCTTGTGCGGGTTCACACTGATTATTACACAAAGTATGATAAATACCTGAAAAAAGAGATTGAGGAAATTCCAGACATCAGAAAAATAGTACCAGAACTGAAAAGTAAAGTGTTGGCAGATGTAACCATAATATTTAGCGGACTCTACCCAACAAACTTCCCCATTGAGAAAACACGGGAACACTATCATGCCACAGCACTTGGAGCTAAAATTGTGAAGAATCTAGTACTGAGTGCTGATGATCCTGACAAAGCAACGCATCTCATTGCAGCAAGGACAGGTAGGCAAATGAGACTTGAGTTTTCAATCAGCTTTTTTTTTCCTGTTGTAGTTCATTCATGCCTTGAGCTGACTTTTCTGTAACCTACAGACTTTAATGTAGCTGAGATTAGAATTGAAATTAAAGGGAAGAGTCTTCCTGAAACAATTTAGAAGCCTTCTTTAAAGGGGTGTGTTTTCTGCTTTTTGATCAAGTGTGGCTTTTAATTGTTAAAAGAAGGACCCCCTAAGTAACCTCTGATGTAATGTGTCATGCCTTGCTTCTTGGTTAATATTTGGTGACGCTGAGTCTTTGATTATTAAAGATGTTGCATAGTAACTTTAAAATTTGTGGAAGATAAAAGTTTATAGTGCTCTTGCTACAAGATTATAACAATACTTTCTTTTTCAATTTCTGAGATTTTACTTCTCATGGTTCAGTTTCACTTTGTCTGGGATTCAAACAAATTCTCTTAGGAGACCAGAATCTGATGATACCCTGTCACTACTCTGTGCATAGCCTATATATGTTTGTCATGGGAGATGTAAGAGAGCTTAGCCCAACTTTTTATATGTATTTCAAAAAGTCACCTGTTTTTACATAGCTGTAGTGGATAGGAATCTATCATTGGGTAGCTGCCATAGAGGAGCAAACAGGCCACCACTACCTTTTAGTACAAATTTTTTGTGTGTACCCTGACCCTTGGTTCCCTCATTGTTGGCCTTTTGAAGTTGCATGGAATCTAAATATCTGATAATAAAAGCCGCAAAATTGAAAAGTAAAACTGCATATTTTGATAATTTAAAACTTCTAGGTAGTTTTAGGACATCTTTAGACATGATAAGCACAGAAATACACAGCTGCTGCCTATTGGATTATTTTTTTCTTGACTGCTGTTCATGCAAACTTTCAGTACATTAGAAGCATCTTCATTTCATCAGCTTGTATTATAAAATAATGGAGTGTATTTTTACTGGCTGTAATATAGATGTGCATACTTTTCTTAAATCATGTGTGACTTAAGAAATGGAATAAGAGACTTATACCGCTGACCAGGAATCATTTCTTCCTGTTGAGGAGGCAGTGATTAAAAAAAAACCTCCAGTGTGAGAATGTTGCAGTTCCTTAATTTCCAATCCTCTAAATATGAGTAGTATTATAAAACATATGATTTAAAATCAGCTAATTTATCAGTATATTGTGATAGACTAATCAGCTACTTTTTAAATATATTAGCCTAACAAGAAGGTTGTATATTTGCTAGGCTAGTGTAAGCTTACCTCACTTTCTAGTTACTTCAGTGTATGTTTCTAGTGACAGAAAGCACAGGTAGCTTCTATTAAAAAGTTGGTAAGGCCAACTGTAGCAAGAAGGGGCTTCAGAATTGACCTAGTCAAGTAGCATCAGAATAAAAACTGTACCAGTGAAAATTTGTATTGATTGTCCTGATGTAGATAAGTAGTAAAAACAACCCCCAGAAAAACCAGAAGAGGCTGGAATTAGTTTCATTGAGATTAGCTGGAATCCTGTTTTGTGAAGGTGTGACAGTCAAACTAGTGAATGGGAAGTGTTAAAATCGGTGGATGCATCAGTCTGGCAACTGCAGTAAAACTATGGAGTCCCAAACAGCTCTTTTAAAATTGCAAGCATAAGCAATACTCTTATCAGCAAAGAATTACATAAGATTGTCATACTTCATTGGAGACATAACAACTGTCAATATAACTTTTATGTTTTTCCAATTTCAGATCTTAAAATGCTTCATTTCAAAGTTGCTTTGTCTAACTTGCACTAGATGGCTTCTGAATGTAGTTGTACATTGGATGCAACCATCATGTGATGTGGTAAAACCGATAGGATAAGTGTAAATGAGACCCCACCCCAAACATATGCATTTCTCTAGAGGAAAAGATGTTAAACAATATTATGTTAAGGTACATACTGTATGATAATGAGAAGCAATTGAGGCTTTTTTGCTTGTTTTTGGAATGTACCATTTGAGAGGGTTTGTGTGTTTCTATAGATATACACATCCTTGTGTTCTACTTCTATAAGCAAATTATTTCCTACCTGCACATTCTTAGTGAATCATCCACTAATGTAGATTTTAATACAGAAAACTATTTTAACTTTAGGTTTTGATTATATTCATGTGCTTTTACAGTATATGAATTGACATTATTAACACATTTAAAATTAATTTTTGGTACTCTCTTGAAAAATAATTATATTTCAGGGTGGTTCATATTTTTCAGACTTTTTGTCAAGACCTTGACTCTCCTTCACAATTGTCACGTAATGTTGGTGTTGCACATGGTACTTGGCAGACAATATTTGAATATATTTTAAAATAAGAAATCACAAGAACAACACTATTCCTGAATTGCTGGGGTGAAAAACCTTTGTTGATAGTCTGTAGTAGCTGACCCCTGCTTTTAGTAAGAAAAGAATTGCATGAACTAATTCTAAAAGAGGTAACTTGGCAGTCTTTTCTGCCTAATGAGCAAGGCTGTTGTCATCTTTCATCATCACTCAGTAATTATTTCTGTAACAATGGCAGTGAAATAAGGGGATTTAGAGTGGAAAAAAAAGTGTATTCTCATGGATTGCTTGTGGTTTTGGTTTTGTGATGGGTTTTTGGTTTTTTGACTGAAGACTATATTTTCTCATCTCTGATTAGATGGTAGTAGTTAACGTTGCATCATCCTAATTTCATGATGGAAATTCTGAAGTTTAAGCAGAGATTTTAAGGATATAAACTGTGTTGTGTCACAGCTGGATTCATGATAATTCAGCTGTCAATGTGATTGTCATACTGATTCTCGTGTGATTAGAAAGCAAATTTACAGGTCTATTATGGCTGGTAAGCCATAGAAATATTGCATCTCTTGATGTCTAATTGCTGGTGATAGGGGGAAATAAAAGCATGTCCCTTCTTGAGTTTTATTCAGAAGTCAATGACCAATGTTGTTCTGTTTCTTTTTTTTCCCCCCCTCTTTTTTTTTTATGTGGTTGTGAAAAGATGAATTTAAAATGTTCGTGTCCGTTCAGTATTTCTGGATGACCCCCCTAACAATGGCAGACTTAGGACTCGGACAAGCAAGTTAATGTATATGTTTACTTTGCATTAGCTGAGCTATAGTAAATGGCATATACTTAATATGTAGCAGCAGTGGGGTAAATACTGTTTGCTTTTGAATTTTGAAGACAGAGGAATAATTTGTCAGAGGAAATAAAAAGGGAAGAAGTCAGTGTGAAATAGAGTACCTCCTAGGTCTTGGAGGGATAGATTTTCCCGCTGCAAAGTGACCACATCATAACTTGGTGTGTGGAATCAACAGCTAGTGAATACCATTTTAGACTGTATTTACAGCATTCTAGGCTTATTGCAGTAAATAATTTACATTTTTTTTATTCTTTGTGTGTACTTGTTTCTTTCTCTGCAGATAGGCGGCTTGTTTCTCTGCAGACACAGATACTCTGAATTTGGAAAATAAATAAATCCTTGTTCTTGGGGAAAATTAGGATTTTTTTTTCATTATATAGGGAGGAAAATACTATTTACCTGAATTACTGTAAAACACAAGGATCTTTGTATCATCTAATCGGCTTTCATAAATCTGAGTGACTGAGAAAATGCTACCCTGTAGTCTTTTCCACTTACCTATGGGCTGTATAAATCTTACTTCAGTTTTTGAAACATCTGCTGTTTGCTTTAAGCAACAGTAAACTGCACTGGATGATGATTTGTTATAGCTGTGTACACACTTGGCTAAGCAGTTACCACACTATTTCATAAACCTTGTTATGTTCCTTCCTGAACAAATAAAAGATACTGTAGTTGATTTTTGTATTGAGTTTTTTCTAGTGGAGCAGGTAAAGCTGTTCGGGTCACTTAAAGATTATTCTAGTAGGGTAGGAGCAGAAATATGTCAGGTTTGGCCCTGAATTTTTCATTTCTTTCTCAAAATATATTTAATTTTGTGTCTTTTTCCTGTACTTTGAAAGCTATATAGGAATAATTTCTTTACCTTTGGTGACTTAGCCTATGTCAAGTTTTGCTTAATATCATTACATATCAGGTTGTTTAAAATACCAATTGTACTATGGCTCCTTTTATTCATCCTCATCTACCTACTTTAAAAATGCTTACTTCTATCTGCCAGCTGATACAGTCTTGTTAACCTGTCGTATGACTTGGTGTGAGGTCTTCGCCAGACATAGTTATGACGTGTCCACAGATTCTTTTTTCTGAAGAATATTTTCAAAGACAATGTTTTTTTTTAAAAAAAAAATCCCTTTAAGCACCGCTCTAAACTCAGGCACTGACCAGGTAAGCCTGTTGCTTTTGCTGGCAAAGCACAGTGCAAGTGTTAAAGCTGAACTCTAGGTGTAGCTTCTGAACAGCACATCTATCACCATTTCGTGATAATTTAATTCTTGTAGGACAAACCACTGCGACTTGTCTTAGGTTAATGATGTTCTTGAAGAGCTTCAAGATTTCATCATAAATCAAGATTTATATATAAAAATGATCTGAAGAGAAATAAATTCCTAGCAATCAGATTTTTAAGCAATGTCTGGCAACCTGGTTGCAAACTGCCGTAAGGATATGTTGACTTTGGTGTGCTGGAATCAGGAGAGTGTTTTGAGAGTTGCTGTGGTGGTCACTTCTCATCATGTACTTTGGTTCATTCTGGCACAGCCTCGAGCCCGCACGCTGGGTTCCTCATGGGTGAGATTGGAGGGCACAGTTAGCTGAGCGCTCACGGGCTTTTGGCCCGCAGGACTGGGCAGAGCTAAGCCAAAGCAAAACGCCCTGAAATGCACATGGGGTGGGTGTCGCTCCTCCAGCATCCTTTTGCCCTGCAGACCTCCCTGTTGGGCTGCTCTACTTGGTAATGTGAATGTAGCCAAGTAGGCAGTATAACACATCTTCTTTAGTCTTCATAAACGTACAGCTTTGGTCTCATTTATCTGTGTTTCTTAAATGCCTAGTGTGCTCATAGTTTGAATAACAC